AATAGGTACAGGGAGATTTGAATCTCAAATCCTGTACACAGAGCAGGAAGTCACACAGGCTTTTATACATCCTTTTTCCCAGCATACTTATCCAATAGCAAGCTGCCCCAAGTATCCATATAGCTAGCCAATCCAGTTCCCAGCTAGTTCCCTGGTTCTCTGTATCATTTGTTAAACTATACATAAAGCTGCTTTATTCAGCATTGTTCTTCCATATCTGCCCTGTTTGGCCTTGCTTAGTTTCAGGCAGTCTGACTCTGCAGCATATTGTTGCAGATCCTCAGCATAACTGCTGTGTGTGCCTCCAGGCGGGGGGGGCCAAGGACACTTGGGCCTAGTACGCAGAGCTGCTGCGAGTGCCTCCAGGCGGGAGGGGGGGCCAAGGACACCTGGGCCTAGTGCGAGGGGGCTTCATCGACACTCGTGGTCTTCCATCCCCTCGAGTTACCTTGTGGCCATGCCCCAGTGTCCCCAACAAAGTGACTGTGAGTTGGACAAGTGCAGAGCTGGGAAGAGAAGAGCCTAGCAGGGAGCAACCTGTGCAGCCACATGGCCTTGCAGAGACAGACCCAAGGAGCAAACTAATGTCTAATGAGACAGCTGAACAGCTGCAAGAGGGGGCATAAAGAGCCTCTGAATCTCCAGGGGAGGAGCCGGGCAGCACCAGCTGGAGGACGGGGCAGCCTGAGCAGAGGCTGGGAGGGCAGAGGACAGACGTTCAAGAGGATAGAGTCAAATGGTGCAGGCAAAAGGGAGGTGAGGCTCTAGAGCAGGGACAGCCCCCTGCAGCCCCTTTAAAGGGCCAGGAGCTGGGAGGATCCATAAAGGAGCAGGAATTGCAGGAGTCTTGTTGGCTTTTGAATAGACCAGGCCTGTGATACAGAGACTATGTCAGCTGAGGAGCAGAGTCCCAGCACAGAGGGGAACTGGAATTGAACCGCACACCAGTGAGCTCGAGGGAGCTATTTCATATAGGGAGGCCTGGCGGGCGATACCTCGAAGGGCAAGAATAGTCCTGCAGCCTCTCACTGGACTGCTCCACAGGGACAAGGGGCCTTTGCCCCCTTTCCTTGCTGCCAGCTCTAGGCAATCCCCTTATCCCTACATGTTAGTGAGTGTTTATTAGGAAATCAGCCTGGGCTAGAGTTGCCTATTGGGCCAGTTGTTTTTATGCCTCAGGGGGCATCATTTCAAAACATTTGGGGGTGTGGGGAAGTTGTGTCAGCATCCGTAACCCTATGTGTGATTATATGTATACTGAAAAGTGGGGGAGGGGGGCCACAAAGCAGAGCATATCGACCTATGAAAAGTTGTGGGGATGTACAAGCCAAGGTCGGGGGGCTTGTCACAGCAAATGACACCTCTGGTAGGGCTTGTGAGCTCGCAGTACATCTGGCACGCTGCCATTTAATATGAAAGGATTTGGCCTGTTGCCACATAGCTGCTCCCTGCATAGGGCTGGCTTATGATGTCTCTCCCTCTGATACCCTCTTGCCAGTCCTGTGTCGGATCACAATGGGGGTATAAAGCAAAACATGGAGGACAAGTACCAAGAAATTACAATACATTAGCTTAAATTATTGTAGTGACACTGGCAAACTCAGTGCCAGCTCAGGTCAGAACCCGAGGCCAATTCACTGGTGTATTAGTATAGATCAAAGTGAGTAATGTATAAATGTTCTGTTCAGATGTTTAAACTTCATGAGAACTAGTGGAATGGTACTTGTATTGTTTTCACTTATCTGTTCCTATTGTAATGTAACAGCAAACATTTGCGCTGTGTATACCCAAAAAGAAAAGGAGTACTTGTGGCACCTTAGAGACTAACAAATTAAGTAGTCCTTTTCTTCTTGCGAATACAGACTAACACGGCTGCTACTCTGATACTGTGTATACCCAGGTCAGTAAGCAAAACATCAAAGAAATCTTGTGAAATGCTAATGAAGGGCGTAAGGACTTTAACAGAAAATGATAATTTCAAAGCAAGTGGCCATTATGCATGGTGGTCAGACATTAGGAGGTTTTACTTGTCTTTTGCTGCTCTGTGAACGTAGAGGAGATTTAATAAATTAAGGGTGGTTACAGTGGTGACTCATGCAGGAAATTTCCAGTCTCTTCTCTCCCACACCTCTCCTGCAGAAAGCTGTTAAGGGCCAATATGCTTATCCCTTGCATTTGGAACCGTTTCCTATTGAGCAGTCAACATATGAAATGCCGTGGTGTTTCACTCTGTGCTGTTTCAGAATGTCACCTAATTTGTATGTGGTTGTCATCTGTACGGCAAAGTCCACATGAATAAATGTTATAGTTTAGTTACATCTGTATTAAAAACACATTCATACTAGTGATGGGAAGACCCCAAAACTGATCCAAAGGTAACCACATTTTTCTACCTTAGTAGACCTTAGGAGCAACTCAGCACCGCCAGCATTAAAAAAACCAACCGGTTGCATTTAGAAACTACCTGTGTAAGAAGAAGAGTGAGAAAGTCTAGATCTTCATGCTTTTCCACTCCTGTATTGCCCACAACTGCCAGATTCTTTTTCAGGATAAAGAAAAGGAGTACTTGTGGCACCTTAGAGACTAACCAATTTATTTGAGCATAAGCTTTCGTGAGCTACAGCTCACTTCATCGGATGCTTATGCTCAAATAAATTGGTTAGTCTCTAAGGTGCCACAAGTACTCCTTTTCTTTTTCCAATACAGACTAACACGGCTGTTACTCTGAAACCTGTCATTTTTCAGGATAGTTCATTTTCCATATTCTCTGTTCTTCTCACCATGAAGGTAGAATACATCCCCAACAACATCCACTCCAGAACCCATTCTGCGGGACTAGCTTTATTTTAGCAAAGACTAAACAAAGCCACTCAGAGCAATAGGTCCCAACCGCCAGAGACTTTTGCAGCTTCACTCCACTGTTGCAGTTCTGGGCACCACACTTCAGGAAAGATGTGGACAAACTGGAGAAAGTATAGAGAAGAATAGCAAAAATGATTAAAGGTCTAGAAATCATGACCTATGAGGGAAGACTGAAAAAATTGGATTTGTTTAGTCTGGAAAAGAGAAGACTGAGAGGGGACATGACAACAGTTTTCAAGTACATAAAAGATTGTTACAAGGAAGAGGGAGAAAAATTGTTCTTAACCACTGAGGATAGGACAAGAAGCAATGGGCTTAAATTGCAGCAAGGATTAGGCTGGACATTAGGAAAAACTTCCTAACTGTCAGGGTGGTTAAGCACTGGAATAAATTGCCCAGGGAGGTTGTAGAATCTGCATCATTGGTGATTTTTAAGAGCAGGTTAGACAACCACCTGTCAGGGATGGTCCAGACCAACTCTATGGGATAAGCTAAACAGGAACATGTTCTGGAGCAAAAGTGTCCACACTTGGAGTTAGTCAGGAATAGCTATTCAGGAATAACTCCATGTGTAGACAAGCCCATGCTCACCAAACATGTGCAACCCATTCACTGTTGTTTTCAGGGTTTGATACCAACCTGGGTCCATTTTTGAGTGAAATTGTTTTCATTGGGAAAACATGAACCAGTTTCTGATCTTGTATACTTTTGCAGCCAAATTACCATGTTCACAGAATTACACTGAAATATGAAACACAGATGGAATGAGAAAATGGGCAAACTGGAATTGCAGAAGGAGTCACAAAACATCTATAGAAAAATTGCCTAAAGTTTTGCCCAGTGATATAAAATGCAATATCAAAATTAAAATACTAATTCTATTTTGATAGAAAATATAATACAACCAACTGTATAGAAAGAAAACGTTTTGCAAAAATAATTAAAGAAATAAAATTAAAATAAATATATAACCTCTTTGTTAATGGCCTGACTCCCCACTGCCTTCCATGCTGAGGAGTTATTTTGATCTGTGCAAAGTGGATCTAAAGTATAATCATTATGGCTTGGTCGTATTCTCTGCCCACATTGCAGTCACGTATCTCAGCTATCAATGACAACACACGGTGCAAGGGAGTGGAGAATCACGGCCATTAATCTTCTGGATCTATAATAGTTGCCACTAAAAAGTTTTGGCATAGCACAGCGCACTATCTGAGATATCACAGCAACTTCCTGCTCAAAGCAGAGGGGGAAAAACTGCCATCATTTAGGCCTGGATTCTGCTTCGGGATCCCGTAGTATGGATCCCTGTAGCTGCGAGAAGTCCTGTTGACTCCTATCAAGAGTTAAAGTCAGCAACGTTCTCAAAAGAAATAAGATGCAAGGAGGATGATCCACCACTGCAAGATTACTGGGAGATGCGGTAAATTCTCTAACACACAGTCCTTAAATCAAGACTGGATGTCCTTCTGAAAGATATGTTCCAGTCCAACCACAGGTTGCTGGGCTCGGTGCAAGAGTCACTGGGTGAGATTCTGTAAAAAGAAAAGGAGGACTTGTGGCACCTTAGAGACTAACAAATTTATTAGAGCATAAGCTTTCGTGAGCTACAGCTCCCTTCGTCAGATGCAAATTCTATGGCCTGTGCTATGCAGGAGGTCATATGAGATAATCATGGTCCCTTCTGGCCTTAAAAAAATCTATCAGTGACTTCAGTGGGACTCCACGGACCTGTTTGCATGATCAGGACCTTAAGTACCATTATCAGGTAACTGTGGGCAATATTGACTCTTTAATGGTGACCACTGCATCTGCCTTCTGCTTACTGTGTTTACCTGGCCATTTTTCAAGCTACCTGCCGTAAGCAGTCATGCTACAAAGTAATATGATGAGACACTAACAACTTCCCCTCCCTATCTCCTTCCCTGAAACGAGGCTGCTGCACAAAGGCATTGAAACAAATGTGTCTGGAAATCTCCCGAGACCCATCCCGCACTGGCTGGTAATGAGAGGGGGCTCTGTTGTCATTTTGCCCTCCAGCGCTCTCTTGCTTTATGCATAAAATCCTGCTAAACAGAACCAATCCCCTGGGCTCCATGTGAGAGCTGCAGCAGCATTGAGGAGGCTTGGCACCGGAGTGTGTTTAAAGGTTGCCGTAGTGATCGTAACAATGGCATTTAAAAATGGCTCAGGCAGTCACTTAATGCCACATGGCTAGAGAGTCCGTGGACGCTCAAGCTGTGACCTGATCTGATCTGTTACGGATACACAACAAATGCCTAAAGGGGGATTCTTACATTGATAGGTACGTGTGTGTATATGTGGGTGTGATGTATAGTAATAGCATGGCTGGGGTAGCGGCTCCTTGTGGACCTTCTCAGCACCCTGGCATGGGCGTGGGGCTCCCGGGCGTAGGGAGAGGGACGTCTCTGTCTCATGTGTCCAGGGTGTGGCTCCTGCAGGCTTAACCCCTTTAGGGGCCGGGCGGCTGGGGGTCTTAGCCCCAAAATGTTCCCAAGACAAAAAGTAAAGTCAGCTCCCTACTAAGTCATCCCTGGTCTCCTGAACAGTTTCTTAGTTGAGTGTCGCTCTCTCCTGGGGGCTGAGTACTTCTCTCCCAGTGGCTACCCTGGCTAACAGGCCTGTTTCTCCACCAGCAAAGCTCCCTTCACTCAGAGAGGCAGAGCTCTGTCCTCCTTCCTCACCAGTCAGCCCTGAACTGAGCCAGGCTCTCCTTTTATTCCCCCTCCAGGCTTGGTATTGGCCACAGGCCTGGGTGCTGACTCCAGGAGTGCTCCAGGGCTAGAGCATTCACCGGAAAAAAAATGGTGGATGCTAAGCACCCACCAGCAGCCCCCTTATCAGTGCCTCCTCCTCCCCCCAGCGCCTCCCGCCCGCACGGTCAGCTGTTCTGTAGCGTGCAGGAGGCACTGGTTGGGGGAAGGAGGGAGGAGCGAGGGCCGGGCGTGCTCGGCGGAGGGGGAAGGAAGAGGTGGGATAGGGGGTGGAACAGGGGCGGGAAGAGGCAGGGTGGGGGTGGAGCCTGTGGCGGAGCCGTGGGGAGCACCCCCCGGAACATTAGAAACTCAACACGTACGGCCACAGGCATAGCGGGGTGGGGCTAGCTGGGCCCATAGGCTCTCTTTAACCCCTTTTCAGCTGGTCTTTTCTGCTGGTCTAGGGCCTCTCTGCTCCATCTCATATATTATATGGTAGGCCAGTAGCTGAGGAGTCAGAGTTAGGCTAAGTGTAATTTTAGGTTTGGAGTAAATTCCCCAAGTAAACTAGAGGCACTCTATAAACTACTGGACATTCACTGGGGTAATTGACTATGGTTTTGAAGAAGGGTAAGATTTTTTTCTCTGACAGCCAGAGTAACGTGTGATCACCCGTAGGCAGTAATCAGGGAAGTAGAAATTGGCATTACACAGAGAAGTCAGAGCCCTGACAGAATTAGCTTACCACCTCCTGAGTCAGTCATTATTTTAGGGCAGGTGAGGCTCCCTGGTAGGTAACATGGGGGAGAGGGAAGAAAGTAAGGGTGTTCCACTTGCAGTCCTCTTTCACCACACCCACAATCCCAGCAGTCCCTAGTCACGATGCCTGCTTTGTCAGGGCTTTCTTAAAGAGGACATGCTGTAAAACTCTCGGACTGTTCTAAAAGGTGGTTTATTAATAAAGCATGTCTCAAAAATAGTAGTAGGTGATTGGTATTTAATTCTGGTAATGTTGCAATGTGTAGTTCACAGGGATTTTTTCTGTCCAGTGTCACGTTATTAGTAAATGTGCATAAGTCTCCTGATATTCAGCTCTCTGGTGGTCACAGCCAGTGGTGTCCCCAGGAATTGAAATTAGGGGGGGTGTTCGAATTTATGGGGGGGGTGTGTCAGGGCCGATGAGGGGTGAGACTGTGAGGGTGAAGGTGGGCTGTATGGCACCATAGTAAAAACTGAAAAATGTTTCATGACCATTTTATTAGATTTAACTCATGTTTTACAATCATCACACAAATTAAAGTTGGCTACTCAAGCCTTCTATGAAGCACTACGTCTACATCCTTCTTGGTTTCTTGTTATAATTTTGCACAACTCTGTTAATGAACTTCTTGAATGCAATGCGTTCATCTTTGGTGGCTTCTCGCCTGTCCGGTACTTCCATTCCTTCAATTGATATGCATATTAGTTCATTCACATGATCAGGCAGAAGGAGACTTCTTTCAGAACACAAAATTCTATTCAATGATGAAAAAGAACGCTCATCTGTAGCTGTTGTGACTAGGAGTAGCAAGAGATGAATTTCTACTTCTTTCAGCCCAGGAAACATAGCACAAAGATCTGGTTGAGCCACTAGCGATGATAAAAAAGAAGTTGAAGTCAAATCTTCATTCATTCGTCGTATGATATTCCACTCTGTGTTCAAATTCTCTATTCTGTCCTGATCACATGGCAGCCCCATTGCTGGTAGTGCCTCACTCCACTCAACTCTTGGTGTTTTATAAGACAGGCATCTGTAAAAGCTACGTAGAGGTTGAGAAGAATCTAGAAGTCGCTGTTGTAGTTTTTTAAGAATCAAGTCTGTGTACTTTTTCAGTTGTCTTAACAAACACTTCTTGTCCTCTTCACTTAAGGATTCGATATAAATGCCTTCATTAGTCAACTTCTGGACTGAAATCTTTGCTTCTTCCAGTACTTTTTCAATGGCTAGCTCTCTGATTGATCCAAATGTAGCTTCTATTGCTGGACAAAGATCTACTACTGTTGTAGCAGATGCCTGGATGGCATTGTTTAATGACCCAAGTGGTTTCAACAGTGTACTTACGAGAGAGATTTCAGAGTAACAGCCGTGTTAGTCTGTATTCGCAAAAAGAAAAGGAGGACTTGTGGTACCTTAGAGACTAACCAATTTATTTGAGCATAAGCTTTCATGAGCTACAGCTCACTTCGAAAGCTTATGCTCAAATAAATTGGTTAGTCTCTAAGGTGCCACAAGTACTCCTTTTCTTTTTACGAGAGAGAGAATGGCAATAGTCTTCTCTGAAGGTAATAGCACATTATTTGAGCTTATGCTTAAATAAATTGGTTAGTCTCTAAGGTGCCACAAGTACTCCTTTTCTTTTTGCGGATACAGACTAACACGGCTGCTACTCTGAAACTTTTCTCTGAGCAAAGCTTGTACTCCACCATGGCTTCCAGAGAAGTTTGCAGCTCCATCAAATGCACAAGCAGCCATCTGTTTGGGGTCCAATTGACAAGAATTTTAATTCTTCTACGATGTGGGTTGTCACAGATGCAGCCAATGTGTCTTCTATAACTTGAACATCTAGAATTGCATCTACTGTCTTACCACTGACATCAAGATAACGTACACAATGACTTAATACTTGATGCCCATTTGCGTCAGTGCATTCATCAGCCATGTATGCAATTTTTTTGAATGTGGTGAGAGAGTTCTTCACTTTTTCAACTATTGAGTCTTTCACTGTTGCACCACACGCGTCTAGCCAGTCAGTTGAGTTTCTTGCAGAAAGATAGCGAGCATTTGCGGGTCTTGTTCGGAACCAGTGTTCAGCTACAGGATGAACAAGTGACAATGCACTTACCATTGGCCTGCAATTTGTAGTGCGTGGTATCTCTTGCTTAAATAGACAGTAGGAGGCCACGGCCGTGTTTCTTTGCATGAACTGTGTTGTGTCTCCAGCATTCTTAACAGCCTCATTAAGTACTTTTAAAATTGGCTTTGAAAGTGGGCTTATAAGGCTTTCTGCAGCCCAGAGGCCTGGTGTTTTGCTGCCTTTTCGTGTAGTTTGTCAGCATTGGCTTTGCTGATCAGTCTGACAAACCCAGCTCCTCCACTTTTACCAATCATAGCATTGGGAAGCTTTCCTTCTTCGTAAGTTTTTTTGCAAGAGGTGGACCAGTAGCCGTCTTTTGTAACTTCAATAAATGGGAACACTTTGACTGACAAACATCGGGAATTGCCTTTAGGTTTTGGAGACACTGTTTCTTCAGTAGGTAGGTGTATTTGTGCTTCGGGCTGGTTGGATGTAGATACACCACTTGAACCTTCAGATGACATGTTGATATATTCTTGGTTCTTGATGTGTTCTTCACCTTGCTTAGTTTTTGAGACTTTTGAGTGGAAAAATTGTTGTATTGTTTTTTGTCTTTTCATTTTCACTTTGACCTGCAACATATAAGAGAGATATGAATAAATTAAATGTTTTGTTAGGATAATGCAAATTTAACAAAAGTAAAATGCAAAATACTCCAAAATACCTAACAGGTCTAGATTTCCAAAAAAATATAAATGTTTAAAAAATGTATTTAATTTAAATTGACTTTTGAAAAGTAAGCCATCATGGGATAAGAGGGAAGTCCTCTCATGGATTGGTAACTGGTTAAAAGATAGGAAACAAAGGGTAGGAATAAATTATCAGTTTTCAGAATGGAGAGAAATAAATAGTGGTATCCCTGAGGGGTCGGTACCGGGACCATTACTATTCAACATATTCATAAATGATCTGGAAAAATGGGTAAACAGTGAGGTGGCAAAATTTGCAGATGATACAAAACTATTCAAGATAGTTAAGTCCAAAGCAGACTGCAAAGAGATACAAAGGGATCTCACAAAACTGGGTGACTGGGCAACAAAATGGCAGATGAAATTCAATGTTGATAAATGCAAAGTAATGCACGTTGGAAAACAATCTCAACTATACATACAAAATGATGGGGTCTAAATTAGCTGTTAACACTCAAGAAAGAGATCTTGGAGTCATTGTGGATGGTTCTCTGAAAATATCCATTCAATGTGCAGCGGCAGTCAACAAAGCAAACAGAATGTTGGGAATCATTAAGAAAGGGATAGATAATAAGACAGAAAATATCATATTGCCTCTGTATAAATCCATGGTACGTGTGCACACCTTGAATACTGTGTGCAAATCTGGTCACCCCATCCCAAAAAAGATATATTGGAATTGGAAAAGGTACAGAGATTGGCAACTAAAATGATTAGGGGTATAAAACAAGAGGAGAGATTAAAATGACTGGGAATTTTCATTTTAGAAAAGAGACGACTAATGGGGAATATGATAGAGGTCTATAAAATCATGACTGGTGTGAAGAAAGTGAATAAGGAAATGTTATTTAATCCTTCACATAACACAAGAACTAGCAGTCACCCAATGAAATTAATAGGCAGCAGGTTTTAAAAAAACAAAAGGAAGTACTTCTTCACACAACATAAAGTCAACCTGTGGCACTCTTTGCCAGGGGATGCTGTGAAGACCAAAACTATAAAAGGATTTAAAAAAAGAACTAGATAAATTCCTGGAGAATATTAGCCAGGATGGGGAGGGATGCAACACCATGCTCTGAGTGTCCCTAGGCTGTTTGCCAGAAGCTGGGAATGGGCGACAGGGGATGGATCGCTTGATGATTACCTGTTCTATTCATTCTCTCTGAAGCATCTGGCCTTGACCACTGTCAGAAGACAGGATACTGGGCTATATGGACCATTGGTCTGACCCAGTATGACCATTCTTATATAGAAATTAATTATAATAATAAAAATGTTTAATACAGAAACTCCCCAACATAATGACCTCAAGATAGCAATGATGTGAGATAACAACCTTGGCAAATAATGCATTTTAAAAATCTTGGTCTACTAGGAAACATATGTATATAAGTTTCCATTCCCAGTCACAAATCTAGCATTCTGGAGCAAAGTCACTAAAATATAGTCCAACAAACAAACTTTTATTTAACGTGCCCTTCACTTTTCCCTCCACTGCACCCCACTCACCGGTGTTGTCCTTGGTCAGTAGAGACTCAGAGTTCAGAGGTGCTTTCACATGAGTTCATCTCCCAGGTGGGGGGCAAGAAGGCACCTTGTTTGTTCCTCCAGCTGCTCACTGTTCGCTCTAGCCAGTGTTGTTCGTTGTGCCACCGTTGACTCCACTGCTCTGTTGCCAATGGCCCTGCGCCATCACCTTCTGCTGCCACCTGCCACTGTGACCTCTGTGAGTTGGTCTCTTGAGGTTCCATCCAGCTGTCAGTGGGGAAACCTTGCTGCTAGTGCGGACTGGGCCATCTCTTCCACAGAAACACTGTCCCCACAGCAGGATTAAGCACTTAGACCTGATTTTCAGTGATTTCAGCTGTAGTGGTCACTTAACAAAACAAAAGACTATCTATGGAGCCTAATCAGCTCTGTCTTTAAACAGTGGAGAGGGGCAGGTCAAATCATACTTGTGACTCAGACAGACCATCAAGCAAAACACCTGTCCCCACCCTCTCACTTGATGTGCTCAATCAACACAGGCTAAGTACAGTTCTACTGGCCTTTACTCATACAATAAGAATAACATTTCATTACACTCCCCCCCCCCCCCCCCCCGCATTCAAGTGATTTGTAACCCAACCCCAGCCAAAATTTATCACTTGGGCAACAGAGCTCTGTTTGCTGGATACCTAGGTAGATTAGATGTGAATGTAAATACAATCTGGTCCTGAAGCCTTTCCCCCCAGCTCATCACTAGCTGCCAGGGAGAGCTCATGTAGACTTTGCTGACAAATCATATTTTGAAATTATTAGGTTGGCCAACATCGCTGAAATGAATGCACTGACATTGTCATAAAAAACAACAGCTGTATAAGGAAGCTAGTCTGTGTTCATACTTTTCAAATCTATTATACTTTTTTCAGATACATGTATTTTATCATACACTTTATATGCTTTTAAAGTGTGTATTAATGTTTCAATTTCAATTCAAATTTCCAAACAGTCACTAAATTGGCATGTAACTATTTCACAAAACTGGGGGGGGGGGATGGTATTGGGAAAATTCAGGGGTGGTGTAGGGAAATCACTGGTCAGACCCATTTTGCACACCTGTGTGTATCTGCAAATCCCTAGTTATGTATGCGCATGGCTATACACACACAACTACCTAGCCATGGGTGCATACGGATCAGGAATTCATGTGCATGTTCAGGCCTATTCGGGGACCAAAAATCTGTTCCTTAAATTACTAATTGTCTATTTTTTTAATTTTAAATTTTAAATTCACCCAGCCATTCTCTGATGGTTCCCTCTTTCCCGCTCTTGCCTGGTATGCCCTCCTCTTTAAGTTCTTCCGTGTTCCCTAGATGCTTTCCTTTTCCTTTTTCCTTGTGGATCCCATCCTGGGCCTGCTCTAATTTCAGCCAGTGCTGATCCAACCCTCTAGCTGGCCTCTGGATTGGAGAACCAAGAAAGCATAAAGCTTCCTTTATTCCCCTGTTGGGTCCTTAGCAGACCCCAGCATGATCAGACCCAAGAATCAGGAAGCATGTTTGGGGGAATTTTGTCTTGCCTTTCCTCAGCAGTCTTCTCCCTGGGCCAGATGGACAGAACTATTCAAGGAGCCAGCCTAACCCAATTCGTAGTGAGGGCCTGACCAAAGTGCCTGGATTCCAGAGGGTTTTGGATCAGTCCCTCTGTCAATAGCTCATTTAGTTTGAGTAGAGCCACCCTAATCCTCCATCTGGCTTTCTGAGTGCCACCCAGGACAGCCAAGATACCTCTCCGGCTCCTTGGCAGTTGACTTTACTTGTCTCTGTCAGCCATTTCTTAATTGGTAGTAAACCTCATTCTGAATTAGAGCTTCCAGCATTTCCCTTCTGATTAACAACATGCAGCATAATGAAAGAACTTGGTAATAAACAATTCCAGAAGCAGTCAAGTTACCAGAGTTTGACCTATTTTTTTAAAACTAAAAATAACATTTAGCATCTATATTCTTCCAAAGCACAGTACAAACACGAGCTAATCCACACCACTTCCCAAGGGGACTAGGAATAATTATTATCCACTTTGTAAAGGCAGGGAATTCAGGATAGACTAGCCCAAGGCCACGCAGCAAGTAAGCAGCAAAGCCAGGCTGAGAACTCAAGCAGTTCTGGCGCCTCACCCCAAACACAGACCACCAGACCACAGCTGCCTCTGAAAACCACACATTCTTCTGTTAAAATAATTTAAAGAAATTAAGAGCTCTTGATCTTGCAGTCTTTGCTCAGGTCAAATTTCCATTAAAATAAAGTACTGCAAAATGGGGCCCTAAGGAAACAAATTACTGTCTTCTGTTTAAAAAAACCCACAAGACTCCAACAGCAAACAATTGTCCCAAATCAAATCTATCACATTTTCAGGAAGAGAACTTTATAAATGTTTCCTATGACTTTTTAGCCCAGCTCTGTAATTTTTCCCTTTGGAATTTCTGACACACTTAAGCTGAGAATTTTTTAACCATATCTCCTATAAAACAGTGTGACTTTTAATTTCCAAACTAGAAGGTTAAAAAGAAATCCACATGGGCTGATAAACTTTGAATATCTGTTCCAATCCTCTTTAGTGCTATACCAAAAAAGCTTTACAGTTGAGGACAGATAGGTCCTTAATTAAAAGTATTAAAAAATTTGCAAGTGAAGAAGAAAAAAATACAGCCTCTCTAATAACTAAATTCTATGTGTTGCAATGTATTTTTGGAGTTGAAAGGAAATGTTTAAAAAATAATTGCACTTTTAGAACAGCTGTAATGAAATACATAAAACCATGATGTTAAGCAGTGAAATTCTGTTACAATTACTATTCCCAAGCTTGCAGCTGAACCATAAATTGATAATGCAGTCCCATGAAGTATCACAATATTGCACTGTGCAATTAATTGCATGGGCAGATACAACCGTTTTTGTCACAGAGGAATATGTCAAAGAACACAGGCCATTTTGTTACATAATATTTATGACCAGAGTCATATTTTTAGGACCGTGCCCATGGCAACAGCCCAAATCAGTGTCATGCAGTATCTTTAATTCTCATGGAGAAGCAACAGAAACCTGCAGACACTTGTGCCTGGTGAGGATCATAAAGACAAAAGGCCTGATTCTCCATTTAGTTGCACTGGTGTAAATCAGGATTAATTCCATTCAAGTCCATGGCATTGCACCGCTATCCCACCAGAGTGACAAGAGGAGAATCAGACCTGGATACGGTAGCTGTGCTCTAGGTTTTTCATAGATTCATAGGTCAAAAGAGACCACTGTGATCATCTAGTCTGAACTCCTGAATGCCACAGGCCAGAGAACTGCCTCGAAATAATTTCTAGAGCAGATCTTTTAGAAAAACAGCCAGCCTTGATACACAGAAAGTTGCTGGTTTAACTGGGGCTTGGACCCAGGACTTTCTGTGTAAAGGAGCTAATGTGATAATCATTATATTATGGAACCTTCCACTTAGGTTTTCTGTTTGGTGGGGATGCCTTACAAATGCTTTATTGGAATGCAGCAAACCAGCCTATAAAATGCCTCAGCTGAGAAGCAATATTTTAATAATGAGGCATAAGCTTCCTGAGTGAGTCAACCAGTGGAAGGGCTGTATTGGTCTTATCGAGGGAAAATTACATTGCTGGACCTGATTATCCTCTCACACTCATGTAAACGAGATGCTGCTCAGTTCAAGTTAGTGGATATAAAGTGGTGCTCAGCCAGTAGGAGAGGGGAATTAACTGTATTTTGTTACTTCCTGCTTCAGAAGCCTTTGGTCTTTTGGCACAGCCTGGTGTAAGAATTTCCTTCCTTGCTCCCTGTAATGATATAGGTTTACTTGCAGCTTATTAGTCAACCACTAGGTGTCTCTGTCTGCGGTATAAAGTCCCTGGTAAACAAGGGAGCCAAAGCTGGAACTCAAGCTATGTGGGAGCCTGTTTGTGTCTGTTGTAGCTGTTTAGGACTGTTTCCATATATCATGACCCTTCCTGGGGGAAAGCAACCTACAAATTACTAGTACCCTACCCCATATGGAGCTTAACTATCTTGGCTAGCTCATAAGAGGCAAAACCAGGGTTCTCTCCCACTATACATGGGGTGGGGAAGCAGCAGCCATGTTCTTTAGGATCTTAAGGTTGATAGCTGTACTCTAGTAAAAAGGTACCAGAGGATCTTTGACCCATTACAGACAGGGTAGTAAATTCACATTTCATCAGAAAGATGGCACCTTTTCACAAATGCTTCCTAACTATGCTGGGGTACTGACCAAGTACCGAAATGGGGGAAATCAGTTGTGACTCCTGGCAAGTCTCCTATCCAAGCACTGACCCACCCTGGCTTGTAAAATGGGGTTACAGCTGGTGTGAAACTGTACAGTCATTTAGAAGAGTGACTGCAGTTGCTAAGCAGGCTATTTCTTTACTATAAATCATTTGGGGATTGAAAAAAAATAGTGGTCTTATCTTTTAATTAAGGATCAGTTTAGTTTCAGAGAGAAGCACAATTTTAGTTATTCAGGCCATCACCACCATTAATTGGCATCATCCCGAATCCAGCTGCATTTTCTGTTTCGTTGTGTTTGGGGTGCGGTGTCACAAAATGGCTCTCAGCCCAGCGAGCGCGGATGCATTAATGAGAGATCAGTCATGCCAAAGGGCTTGATCCTGCCTGGAGCAAAGTACCCTTCACTCCCACTGATTTTAAGGGGATTGCAAAGCACTCAACACACTGCAGGATGGGGGCCTCACAAAACAGAACCTATTGATGTCAATGCAGAATTCTGCCTTTAAATTCAGAGGGCGCTGGAGTGGCTGCAAAGAACTTAGTGCAGAAGCCATGAAGAAAAGAAAACCGTAACTTTAGGAAGGCACTGCATAGAAGCCTAAGCAGGCTGCAAAGTCAGGAAGTGTGGTAGATATGGGGGTTGGGGAAATGGAGTGGCTGAAGAGTTGATGTGGCCCCCCTGAGGAGGTGCAAAGATGTCTTCAAGTCATCTGTCCCTCTCCACCCAACCTCCTGTCCGGGGCAGGGAGGGGCACTGAATTTAGATGAGTCTACACTGTAAGCTGTGCTCAGAGGAGCTGGAAGAAGGGGTAAATTGAGTAGGGGCTGATTGGCCTTTAATGTAACTGACCCTTCCTTGCATCCTCCTGTTTGTTGTTTTGCTCTCTTCTGGCCCTTTGGCATGGACAATCCAGCTGCTTAGATTCCCTGCCTGTGGGTTCGCCAGGGTGGGCCAAACACAGGCGCGATGTGCATGAGGCTGTGGGTTACATGTAGTTGGAGTGGGGTGAGTCTGAGGGAAAAGTAAATCTTCTCCCTGACCTGCCCCC